TGCAACTGGTGCATGAAACACATCACCACTCACACAGATGATTCTCTCTCCATGGGGCTCCAGCCAGGAGCTTTGGGAGAACTAAAATCCTATTTCTTTCACAGGTTATCGCTTTAGGGAAACCAGGGGTCTCTGTGTATTCTATGAAAAAGGTAACTTATCACCATTATTATTATTATTTGCTGAGCACACTATGGACTTGGAGCAGTGCCAAATGCTGTATGTTCTTTAAGGCGCCAGGCAGTGAAGACAAGGTATTCCTTGTTTTAGTGGGGATTCCCCCCTTAACTTTAATATTCAATGCCCTAATGGGTTTGGGAGGTGCATAAGACTATCCCTTGCATCAGTATTTAATTATACTTTATTCAGATTTTAATACTCACTTTTATGGATTTTAAGTGTTTTCACCAACTCATGTTTTAGAACAATCCCTTTTCTCATTTTATATATAAAACATCTAACTGGCCACATTTGACTTTAAATATCTATGTTAGAAGGACACAAGTTCATTTAAGAAACGAATCATGTGAAAGCTATGAGTAGTAAATATTTATAAAGATGTAATGTTCTCTTTCTTGACCTGGGTGGGGGTTACATGGGTGTGTTCATTTCCTGATAATTCATCAAACTGTACACTTGTGATTTGTGCATTTTATGTAAGTGTACTTACTTCAATAAAATAATTTTTAAATTTCTATTTATGAAGGGTCTTGACATCCCCTCCCCAAACACATGCAAAGCCACAGTCAGAACAGTGGATTTCAAAGGCAGGTATTTGCTCTCCCTCTCCTGGAGCCCTCATTGCTTGGCCTAGGGACTTTCATTCTTCAACCTCAGTCCTCAGAGGTTGTTCTAGGGCCTCCCTCTCATCAGATATTCTCCCTTTAGGCTTTTTTCCCCATGGGCTTTCTTCTGTAGACTGGACCCCTATCTCCTCTAATAGGTCCCAATATTTTCTTAGTATCTCAAAAAACAATGCAAAAAAAGTTTCCTTTCATTTTTTCCCTCATAGTACTGACGATGCCTCCTCTCTCTCTCTCTCTCCTCCCTCCCTCTTTTTCTCACCATGTCTCTGGAACTTGTATTTCTGGAAAAGAAGTCCCAAGTTGCTTTGTAACTGCATGGTAAAGTACTGCTATTGAACATTCTTCCATTTTCAGTTTCATTTCTGTAAGAACCCTCCTGATACGGTTGTCAAGATCAAATGAAATCATCTACATGATATACTTAATACAAGGCTAGGCACATGGTAATCACTCTGTAAATAGCAGCTCTTATTATTGTTATGAGTAGTAGTATGATTAGCTAAAGTCGTTTTTTGTTTTACAATGTTTTCTCAACCTATGCAAATTATTATGATGCTGAGGAAATAATCAAAGAGCCGTTGCTATTTATTTATATATTTATTTATTAATCCTCACTCTAGGATACTTTTTCTACGGCTTTTCAGAGAGAGTAGAAGAGAGAGACAGAGACAGAGAGAGAAACATCCATGTGAGAGAGACACATCGACTGGTTGCCTCCCACATGTTCCCTGACCAGGGCCAGGGATCGAGCCTGCAACTGAGGTATGTGCCCTCGGCTGGAATCGAACTGGGACCCTTCAGTCCACAGGCCGATGCTCTAACCACTGAGCAAAACTGGCCAGGGCAGCAGTTATTATTTATTAAGTCTTCTATATCAGGTATTATTAGGCATTTTACATGAATAGTCTTAGTTAAGCCCCTAGCAATTCAATGAACTAGAAATTGGGATCCCATTTTAAAATGAGAAACCTGAGCACTTGTAAGGGTTAAGCCATTTTGCTGGATGACTAGCTAATTAAATTGACCATGGGGACACATTTGCTTCTGCAATAACCATCTTCTTGCAGGATGTGTATCCTGCCAGATTGTGGCATGGCACTCGACCCCTCAATAAGAAGCTGTTGGGCCCCAACTGGGCACAGTAAGTTACAGAAGAAGTCTCAAACTGGGCTGTGCCTCCAAGGAGCAGACAGTGGGTAAGTCAGCCCTGTTGCGACCTTGCCCAACATTTTGTCATTAAAAGTTTGCAGGCTTCAAGTACCTAATTATCTTCCACTCTTTCATTTGTTGCCTTTAGCATCTCCTTCATCACCCCAAACCAAGTATCCTCTTTAAAAACTGTAACAAGCTTACAGACAAAAGTTTATTCTCTGTTTCAAGAATCTTCAGAGGTCTGGGATTCTAGGCACCTTCTCCTAAAAATTTCCAGGATAAACTCCCCTCCTTATTTACTGCAGGTGTAGTCTACAAAATAAGACAGGTTTAAGCTGATTCAGCCACTACAACTACAACCCTGTTGGCCATGAACAGTGCTTTGTCATTGAAGCTAGTTATTGCTAATGTCTGTGGTGACCTTCCAAATATTATCTTTTGTTTTAAGAAAGGGAATGTGGCATAAGCCTAGTCTTAAGGGTTGCACCCCAGTTATACACAGGCAACCTCTAATGACTTCTAATAGCAACTACTTCATGTATTTCTCTTCAGTTACTCACGTCAGCATCACTATCCAACCTGCTAGTGGCTTTCCTTGAAGAGGTTATTTACTCATCTGCTTGGCTCCAGCTATGAAGGATGCACAGCGTCCCTGGGAGTAGAGCTGGTTTCTTTTTAAGGCTTTGTAAAAACTTGAACTGCAGAAGGATGAAGCCTTTTTTATGGGAACCACCCTTTCTATCAGTTACACTTCTGCTCTGTCATGAATTGTGACTGCCTGTTCAGGAATGTCTCCGCCATTCAGAATGTGGAAAGCAAGCCTCTGGGAAGCTCAGCGCAAAGGCAGTCCCGGCTCTGGCCTTGGGCTGGACACCACTTCTGCACAGTATGACTCAGACTCCCTTCTCGTAACGCCTGATCTCTAGACACCATTCTCCACGAATCCCTTTCTCTGTTCGTAATCCCTTGTAATCCTCGTGCTCCTCTATCTGACCTTCTCTTCCCACAAAAATTCAGAAAATATGTGCTTAATAAACAAACAAATCCATTGACAAAGATAGATGTGTTCAGGGCAGCTTCACCAAAATTCAGCTTCAAACCGGTATTTAATAAAACTCTAGCCAAAATACTCATTTGTAACTCCAGCCAGCTATTTTATTGAAACCAATTCAAAGCCAAACATTTTCTGAATGCCTACGAGGCAACAAAAATAATAAATAATGTTTGGTTATCTTTCAAACCCTGGAAGATTCAGAGTCCCAATCCCAAAAGAACATGAAGATAAGGTAACAGGAAGCCGACCTGAAACTGTTTATAGCTTTAAGAATGACTCCCACTCGGAAATCGAAGACAGGAACGGTGGGGAAACCTCAGGTTGTCACCAACTGCTAAGAAATAGTTCAGAAGACAGTGACATTAAATAGGTTCTTATAAGTCTTCTCTTCCACCAGCACCTTTTCAGTTAACTTTTTGTAGATTTTCTTCCTTTGTTCTGAGTTAATTTTCAAAAGGGCAACCGCAAAAGACATCCAAATGTGACAAAATTAGTGCTACTCAAGCACCTATGTGAGTCTGAATACCCAAAGCCCTGAGATGTTTCAGAATTTAAACTTGAAGACTTCATTGCCATGCCCCCAAAGATGCCTGTAGAAACGTCCTATTATGGATTTAGAGGCTCCTTTCCTTCGGTAAAATCCTGAAGATATTTATACAGGATGTATAGATAGTGTTAGAAATAGCTTATCCTTGATGCTTCACTCTGCTCCTATGGTTTCAGTTCATCTGGCCTATAGACTATCTAGCACATTAGAGTAATTTTGTTACTAAACCTAAACCACTTTATATCAGTTTCCTCCGTTTTCTTTTTAAATGCCCACCACAACAACCCAGAAAGGTGGGCAAGGCAGCAAAGTATGTGTCTGTGCCCTCTCTTCAGAGCCCTCCCAGCTGCAGTGGTGGGCAACACACCCTATGCCTTGGGCTCACCCACAACTATCTCTTCTTCACCAATGTCCAGTACTTCCAGTTACGATCTTCTTTCCCTAATATTTTCCAGTAGAGGGAAGAAGGGCTAACTCCTTACCCGCCCTCTCTCTTTACAGTCACTCTTCACTATAAAACCTCCTAGGGAGAAAGAAACGTCAAATCTAATGCTAAGAGAAAAGAAAAAATGAACCATCACGCATGTTCTTCGAAGTGGGGTTTGATTCATAGTAACCCCTGGAGAGAAAAGACATGATAAATGGCAGGCCCTTGTTTCTTATTAGGATAAGGATCTATTTATTTTTGATCTTGAGCAATTTGACTCCAGAAATAAACTTAGCACTATAGTTTAAACGTTCAACTCCGGTGAGCAGACATTTTTATTTTTCAAAAAAGTAGCCTTTTACTTAGGAGCTCATATGAGAAACAAGATTATATCCACTTGTTCTTTCTCAATTGTTCTGTAACTTTATATCTGCCCAAGTTTGTTTTTTCCACACAAAAAGCCATTTTTTTAACTCGGCAAATTATCACTATGCTAATTCTGTCAAGTCTCGGTTATTTAAGGACAACTTAGGAACTGGAATCCATAATTCTTTGCATCAACAAACACTTGATTTAGTTCAACAAATTTTTATTGAGTACTTATTAAATACCAGATGCTATGCTGAGAATGTTATGGCTGAGACTATAAAGATGAATAAGCATGGTCCCTACGTTTAGAAATTCTCCGTCTAATAAGGGACAATAACACATAAGCAAGGAAGTGCCATGTGTGTAACAGGTGCCGGAACGGAAAGAGTACAAGTCGAACGTGGCTGCAGAGAAGGGCAGCTGGAGAGAGAAAGCAGCGTCTGATGTTATCCTAGATTCAGCGTGTGTGCGAGCCTGTGCACGTGTGTGTGCTAGAGGAAGGGGGGAGGGAGCAGAGAGCATCCCAGATGTGAGCAAAGGCATAGCACAGCTCACTGGGTTCTTGCAACTTCAGGTGGTTTGTTGTAGCTGCAATGCTCAACGGAGGGCAGAAATGGTCCGGCATGAAACGAAGCTAGAAAGGGGGGGACCTATTCGGTAACAAGCTTCCCTGGTGCTTCTTGGGCTCACTGAAGTTGAACCCCCACAGCCGGTGATGGAGAATCTGTGCCGGCACCTCCCCTTCCCTCCTGCCTTGATCTTAATTCTCCTGTTGATTAGCAGCACCCGGGGGATGGACTGGGCTAGGACTCGTGGCTCCATTCCACTTAGGTGGAAGAAAGCAGCGTGGCAAAGGGAAGGGCACGAAGCTGCCACCTAAGAAAGGTAGAGGCCTGGACCCCCACTTTCGCACCTGCCCCTTTGGTGAGTATATGGTCATTACTTTTTTGACTTATATAATTGGTGGTTTTACTGCGATTAGGAAATATTTTAGGGTGTTTGGTTATGAAGAATTCCTAAATTCTTCATAAAATCTGTTTTAAAATGGTTTTCAAGTGACTGGTTTTATTTACCTATACTGTACTTCTACTTGATCGTATTTCTTCTTATGGAAGGATTAAATAGACAAGTCCTTTCTAAATGCAAAAATTATAGTGTTACAGCATTACATGCAAGCATGCACATGCCAGAAATGTGTGAAAATAAGGTTTTAAGTCAGCAAGAGACATAGCTTGATAATTTCTCATCAAGAAAAAAGCAGGGAGACGAGATACTTCAATGCCAGGTTTCCAGCTGGCGCACTCAGTGACCCGCATGATTCTGACCAAGACAGTTGTGTGCTTGTGCTCACGTGATTTTCTTCTTGCAGGTCTAACTTGGATGGCTGTGAGTTGGCTTAATCTCAGCTGGCAACTGTGAGATGTTCACACAATCCCCCACAGTGGTCTCTGGGATTATGCTAAACAGAGCAATTTCCTTGCCCTGGTGTATCAAAGGCCTTGCATGGCCTTGGAAATGAGAGTACATTTCTGTCTCGCGGACCAAGGGGAAAACAGCTGCTATAGTTACTGTTTCGTGTTTAACCTCTTTTAATCTTACTGAAGTCTTTTTCTGAAGCCTTTCTCTGAAGACCCGTTGTACTGAAAAGGCAACCAGTCTTGGGAATTAATTTGCCTTTATTGGTTTCACATGCTATTTAAAGCGGTCCTTCAATGCTACTTGGCTTTTTAAAAAAATTTTAACCAAGGGAGTTTGGGTGTTAGAAGTGGAACCTAAAGCGTTTTCCTTCTGAAAGCTTCTCTCACTCCGTTGATGGGGGCTGCTCGGTGAAATTCCAGGCAGCCCAAAAGAGGATGATCTGCCCGCTCAGGGGGCTCAGTGTTGAGCTTCCACCTAAGAACCAGAGGGTCACAGACTCCAGGTCAGGGCACAGGCCTGGGTTGCGGATGGCCAGTGGGTCCCCAGCAGGGGGCATGCAGGAGGCAGCCAATCAATGACTTATTGTTGATGTTTCTCTCTCTCCCTCTCCCTCTCCCTCTCTCTGAAATCAATTTTTTTTAAAAAAAAAAGAAAAGAAAAGAGGATATCTCCTGCCGGGCCCTCCTCAAACTTCAACTGCCTGATTAGCACGCTGAACGGCCTTTCTGTATCGCTTCTGTGAGTGTTTCACATTCACCTGTCCTCACTGATACTGAAATTTAGAATCAACTCTGGCTCAAGCTAAGGTCGCCACAAGACTTGAGCTGTACCTAGCTTTAATTCTCGGTGACTCCTGCAAACAGGAGCAGAAAACTGTATTCTGCAAAAACAATGGGAACAAATGTAATTCCTCAGGGTAAAAAAAGCAAGGCCTGTTCTCTTTCTCATTCACCCAGCAACACAAAACAAATTAGATGGTGCAGATTTGTAATTAAATGTAAGATTAAGTTTAACACCAAAAATTATTAAAGATGCTATTTCGGAGATCTTGAACGGCACCTGCTTCTTGGGTATCTTCAGGAAGACAAGAAGCCCATTTTTCTATCTGATTAAATTACATTTCTGCCATTGAAGCAGATTAGTATGGTATGATATATTAGGTTTTCTTGCCAGAAATTGATGTTGGGTAGCAGGAGGTCGGTTTGAGAACTAATCATTCCCAGACTAACAGGATAAATACTAAACTTTAAACCAAAATATAACTTACCTTTGGTAAGAAGAGGGCTTCATATTAATTCTCGGGGTTCATTAAGGCCCTTTAAAGCAGCTGAAACTTTCTAAATGTCATCTGTATCTTCCTGGTAGTTGAAATAGCATTTTCCCCCAAACCTTAAAAAATTCCCAATTCTAATTCTTGGTGACAATTTTTCAAACAGGGTTGAAAATTATTATTTTTCAATAGGTAAGAAAATGAATGCAATTCATTTTTAAAATAGTTGAGTACATGCTGTGTGTCAGGAACTGTGCTTGTTGCCATGCTAGTACATGCAGTAACTGAACTGTATTGTTGCAGTCTGTCAGTGTTTGCAGTACTCTCTACACACAGGCACCAGGGGAGCTTCTAGAAATGCCAATGCCAAGGATTGCATCCACCACAGACAGGTGAAATCAGAATGCCTGGGGGTGAGCTTAGCATCACTATTTAGAAGTTACCCAGGGGATTCTAATGTGCATCCATGAGTGAGAACCACTGCATCTGAGCCTGACAAGAAGACTGTGGATGGGATGGAGTGAGCAGAAAACTGGCAGGAAATGAGGTTGGAGGGGTAGTTGGGTGGACCATAGTAAGGAGTTGCAAGACTTGTTTATATGTAACATAGATCAGATAAAATTTTCTTAGAACCTAATCATTTATAAACTTTCTCTAAAGAAAAATAGTTACTATGGGTTCCAAATAACTCCCTGGCAATTAAACTTTAGGAGTGTAGACCACAGGATAGGTAGGTTCCTACCAAGAGGAAAACTAGTATGAAAGATCAAAAAGAAAACTGGCTGAGGAATCAGGAGCCCCGATGTTTGGCAACTAATTGGCTGTGTTGCTGTTTGAAGGAAACTAATCACCTATCTTTTCAGCCACATGGAATAAAAAATTCTAGAATTACATCCAGGTAGTAATTAGCATCAAAACAAGGGAAGGCTCTGACAGGAACGGGGCTAAGCTCAGCCAACTTGCTTGACTAAGAAGAAACTCTAGCTTCAAGTTCTGCTTCTCCCAAAATATAGCTGCTTTTCATTTTCCCTCAATAAGAACTTGATGCCTGTGAGGTACCAGGCTCTATATTGGGGATGTGGCTGTGAACAAAGCATCCCTGTTTTCAGTCTAGAGACAGAGTTGTTTGTTAAGTCAATCATGTAAATATCCCCATTGTAATTCTAGATGGTTAACTGCTCTGAGCAAAGAATGGGGAGACCTGGTCCAGACTGAAGATGAGGCAGGGATTCGAAGACGGAGTAGGAGTAATGGGAACAGTGTGGTGAAAATCTTGAGAGAAGAGAGGCATTCAATAAACTCTTGGAACACATAAGGTGCCCCCTACCTGCCTGAGGGTCTTGTCACCTGGAATAGACATACCAAAAGGATCTCTCAGGAAAAACTGTGGGGATATACTCTGGAAAGCATGACCCTCCACTTTTTGGTTCTATTATGGACACCTCAATCAAAGGAAGATGCTCTTAGCCTATATAATTCTCCAAAGGTTGCTAAAATTGTGCCCTGGATTTTAGGATTCCCGGCTGTTTCATGATGGCCTATCTCTGAGTTGTCTTCCCTTGTTACCATTTCACACTGTTAACAGGCAGACTAGCTATATTTCTAACTCAAGTAATCCAGAGAACTGCAGAGTTTCAATTTTTATGATTTTTCTAGGGTGAAAAGAAATGAAAAGAAGTTGCAGATGTACTCCTAAAAGATCTATAGTCATATAATGATGTCTAACCAGTAACATTCCTGAGCTCCAATAAGTAGTAGGACTTGAACTTTTGTGGGTGCTTGGATTCTGGCCTTTTTCCTTCTAGATCATGACACTCATCACAGTCCTATCTAAGATCACTAGTTTCCAATAGCCCACATAGCCTCAGAACAGGCTGTAGCAGTAGTTCTCAAATTATAGTTCCTGGACTATATCACCAAGGAACTTGTTAAAAATGCAAATTCTTGGGCCTCATCCAAGATCTACTAAATCAGAAACTCTGTGTCTCAGCAATCTGTATTTTAACAAGCCCTCTGGATAATTCTGCTGCATGCACGAGTTTAATGACCACTGGCCTGTGAAGGACCTTCCATCCACCTCCATGAATCCCTCTTCCCTGTAGCAGTTTGTAATGAAAGATGATATTTCCCTATCTAACCATTCCACCCATCCTACCCAGTCAGGACTTTCAAAACGTATTGCAGTCTTACACTAGGCACTCCAAATAGTCAATAGAAGCCTAGAATCTGGACATGTGGGCAATTGGACTCCTGCCCCATTGCTTTTGATAAATGATGCTCCTTAGAGAAGATCACACAGCATATTTGCAGCAATCAAATCTCGAAGGACCCCACTCTTCACCTACTTTTATTTCCTTATCACATTCCTCCTGCTCACAAAATGACACAATACCAAGTAATGTCCCAGCAGCTGTCAGAGAGTTGTTAACTCAGTCCCTAACCTGTCAAATCTAGCTGTAAACACTAAAACTGTAGCTACAGAGAGACCATGAGAAGAGAAGCTATAGGGGACTATCATGACAGGCTGACTTTTTGGGTCCTTCTCCTGGTGTTCCTTCTCCAACAGAGGTCTTTAGGGTCCCCGATACCATTCGCTTTACAAATCCTTTGGCTTACCTACACGTTCTATGTATATAAACCTTAAGAAAATATCTGTTAAAAAAACTGAAATAACATACTTAGATAAGATAATAACAATCATAGATAAGAACTCTATAAAAAAGAAAGAGAGACCAGCTCGTGTGGTTCAGTTGGTTGAGCATCAACCCATGAACCAAGAGGCCCCGGGTTCGATTCCTGGTCCGGGCACATGCCCAGGTTGTGGGATCAATCCCCAGTAGGGGGCGTGCAGGAGGTGGCCCATCCGTGTTTCTCTCTCATCGATGTTTCTATCTCCCTCTCCCTTTCTCTCTCTCTAAAGAGAGAGAGAGAGAATAAGCTGGAAATTATGTCTCTGAAGTACTTAAATGTATTCCAAAATTTCACAATCTATAAAATAAAAATATGAAGAAACCTTAATTCTTAGTCCTAATGGGGATCCAGATAAACAAAGACAGACAGGTAGCAATCAGGGAGGGAACTCTCCAATCCCCATTTTGTCATCTCCACCATTCAGCTCCACCTTTATTCTACTTCCACATCCCATACCCAATTACTTCTAACCCTTTATGTCCCAAATACCCCATGTAAACCAGAAGTTCCCTTGGACAGAAGGATGGATTTGCTAAGTAATACT